AGACGGCAGCAATCGCTCCCATGAGACAGTATGGGGGTGGGTGGGTGTTGGTCATCTCTGTGGTTTGGGCAACGGTCATGTTTTTGTCTGTATTCACACATGATTACGAAGTGGTCTTGTTTCTGTCTGCCTCCACCATGGTCAGAGCGGCCGGGTGCGATGCTAGCGTCTCGTGAATCTGTTTACATTCAACAGAATACCCGGGCCTGACCGTGAGCGCCAGGCCCTCTGTAGCGACACCACTGCCCTGCTGACAGCCCCCCTGCCCCAGGCCAGCCTCCGGGTGTCAGGGGCTGCATTTCTCTTTCTCGAACTATCCGTTTTGAGATGAGCCCTGTTTTCCGACCAGGGCTTGGCAGTCCGGTATCTAAATATTTCGACCCTCCCTGTACTCTGACCCGGTCACACCCATCTGTAGAACCAGCCAGGCAAGGGAACGTCATCACTGGCTTGGGCTGTGTGTCTCTGTGTGTGGTTTTGTGTACATGTGTCCGTGCCCCCGCCAGAAATTCCCTGATAAGTTGGGAAAGAGGCCAGAGGCGGTTCTACTTCACCTCTGGGCCCAGCAGGACTTCCCCTCTGCCCAGAGAGCAAGGCACTGGGGGTCCCAACAGTCTCCAGGGAAGCAAGGGTGCCCCGCGTTAGGTGGAGTCAGGGAAGGACCGAGGGGATATTGCAGCAGCCAAACTTTAGAGGAGCGGGAAAGGGAAGGGGTAGTGGTGGAAGGGAGGGGAGAGTTCCTTTGTATAAATGGGTCTCTAGAGAAGCTGCTGGTTTTCCTTCAAGGAAGCAGCCTGCAGTAGGTCACTGTGGATCCCCACCCCCATCCCTTTCTGCTGTAAGCTTCTTGTCTCCCAAATGGGACCTGTTGATTAGAACAATGACAACAAAGTCACATATGTTGACCTCATCCTCCACTAAGAGGCTTACTCTGACTCCTTTCGAGTCAAACGTGCTTCCTTCACTCAGGTCCATCTCTCCAGCTACAGCGTGAGGCCATCTCCTGGGTGCCTCAGAGGTGGCCAGGCAGAGACCAGTACCACCATGATGTGGTGCTGAGGTGCCATGGGGTATCATTTGCAAAATGGCAAAGAAAAGTGAAATGGAAGTCAAGTGGGTGGGCTGCAAACACCCAGTGTTTTGGCAGAGCCCCAACCCTTCTTTGCAGGGCGTGGCTGGCCCTGTACTGCACTGTGTGGTGGCTCAGCTGCTCCCAGGCCGGCTCTCAGGGGCCAGAACTCAGCTGGCACTGCTCCTCGTCTGTCTGGTTAGAAAAAGGTCCCTGCAATCCTTGGGGGCCTGGACAGATCAAATGCATCCTGGGTATCTGTGGCAAGTCTCGGCAGTGGGTGAAGTGATGGGGGTCTGATAACCTGGATTACAGAGAACAGAGGTTACAAGGCAGAGGGTCATTTTTGCAGTAGGCCCTGTTATCTAGCATCATCCAACCAAGCGACCAAGGACTTGCTCAGGACTCTGCCGGGGTTTGGGGGGATGGGGCACATTGTCCTCATTCTGAGAAAAAAAAAGTCTCTGTTCTGGGATAGCTTACTATCAATTCAGGGAGTGAACGTTAATAATGCGGAGCATGACTTAATAAACAATCAAGTTCAAAGGTAGCAGGTGCAATTGGAGTTCAGAGATGAAATCATGCACGGGCACTAATCCAACTGGTACCGCGTTACCAAGGTGCAATTTCATTTGGGCCTTGAGAGGTGAGCAGGAGGGGATAGGTAAAAGGGAACAGGGATGACATTCCAGATGTGGAGAGCACAAACAAAAGTTTAAAGGCGTCAATAAACCAGATGTGTATGTGTACATGTGCACGTGTGTCTGTTGTGGGAAAGGAGGCTGGATGGGGGCAGAGTGGGCTGAGGTCAGGAGCTCTGGGGAAGACTTCGGGCCTGGTATGGTTGATGACAAGGAGTCACTGTACATTCTTCAACGGGGGAGGGAGGGGGTGCCGCTGGGAGGACATGGACTGAGGCTTTAGGAAGTGATCTAGCAGCAGTTGAGGACGGTTGCTCTGGCTGATCTCCACTCTTGGCATGTCCACAGTACTTTGTGTCTTTCGATGGACACATCTCACTGTAGGGTACTCCTGTGTTCACGTGTCTGCTTTCCTCAAGTGGCCATGTCTCCTCCATCTGCCTATTCTGACATCTACCTGACTCACAGTAGATATTCAACGAACACTGACTAGATGAATAAATCATTTTACTTTTTTTTTTTAAAGATTTTATTTATTTATTTGAGAGAGAGAATGGGAGAGAAAGCATGAGCAGGGGGAGGGGCAGAGAGAGAGGGAGAAGCAGGCTCCCCGCTGAGCAGGGAGCCCGATGCGGGACTCGATCCTGGGACTCCAGGATCATGACCTGAGCCGAAGGCAGTTGCTTAACCAACTGAGCCACCCAGGCGCCCCCATTTCATTTTACTTAACTGAATTACAATGACACTCTATACAAGGATAACAACTGTCAAAAAATTAGACTAAATTGCACATACCACTAAAAAAAGATAATTCACAATTTGATCTTTTAAAAGATGATTTGTGAACTGCTTCAGGATCTTAGAACTACCACCATCTTTGTAAGTAGCAATGAGCACCGAAGAGTCGATCCTATTTCATACGCTAGGTGAGTTTTCTACATATGCATTTGGATGTGCCATGCATCAGATCATATTTCACTAAACCTGTATACATATAGTAAGAACCTGTCCTGGTGCAGCTAATTCTTTTTTTTTTTTTTTTTTTAAGATTTTAAGTAATCTCTACACCCTATGTGGGGCTTGAACTCATGACCTTGAGATCAAGAGTTGCATGCTCTTCTGACAGCCTGCTGGGCACCCCAAGATTTGATTTATTTATTTTTTGTTAATTTTTTAAAAGATTTTATTTATTTGACAAGAGACACAGCGAGAGAGGGAACACAAGCAGGGGAAGTGGGAGAGGGAGAAGCAGGCTTCCCGCCAAGCAGGGAGCCCCATGCAGGGCTTGATCCCGGGACCCTGGGATCATGACCTGAGCCAAAGGCAGACGCTTAATGACTGGGCCACCCAGGCGCCCCAAGATGATTTTTTAAACTTAATTTGAGGGCACCTGGGTGGCTCAGTTGGTTAAGCGTCTGCCTTCGGCTCAGGTCATGATCTCAGGGTCCTGGGATCGAGCCTCACATCGGGCTCCCTGCTCAGCGGAGAGTCTGCTTCTCCCTCTCCCTCAGCCCCTTCTCCTGCTTACTCTCTCTCTCAAATAAATAAAATCTTAAAAAAATAAAGTTAATTTGAAATATAAAAAATGAGTTGATTTATGAACCTCTGACTTCTGTTCTCGGGAAATCATCTGTAAAGTGAGGTGTGTCTATAAGCCTATTTTAGGTCAAAGGGGCGAGGGGAGAGATTTCTAGTTTGAGGAGTTGAGATGGGAGTTGAGAGATCACGATCCCTCAAGGAGTCAGTCTCAGGTTTAGCCATGAAGCACCAAGTCTCTGAACCCTTGCTTCTTTTGCAGTAAGTGACCTCTCTAGCCCCTCGCAGGTCCAAGCCAGTTCTGAGCAGGACAAAAGGAATTGTTCCGGGTAAAGCAGAATCTGTTCCGTGGGTTTCTGTGTTCGCTCATTTAACAGTGGATGGGGCCAGAGAGACATTCAGGAACTGAAAGCAGTTGAGAGTGTGGAGCAGGGAATACAAGGCTGAAACAAATCACGCACTTGGTAGGAGCTCCAGTGTGCCTGCTCACTGATATGCACAACTTTCCTCCCTTCGCCCACCCGTTCCCTTTCAAAGAGAACAGAAGTTAATTTAGAAGAATCAGGTTTTATTTAGTGATGTGAACATTAAGAATCTGCCTACATGGTTGAAATATTCACAAAGGACTTTACCATTCACACTCATATGCAGAGGAAGTCTGCTGAATAAAAAATGCTCCTTTACTCATCCAAGCTGCTGTCAGGGACAGCAAAGTGCTTGCCTGTTCCACTGGGGGGCTTCAGTCCTCGTGAATGTTGAATAGTTTGGCTACTTCATTGAGATCTTCGTGTTGCTCACCGTCCTTAATGATCTGAGGGAGAGAGGAACAATGGGTCACCGACTCGCTTCGTGTGCGCCAGGCCGGCCTGCACAATGGGGAGGCCTGGGCCAGTCCCCACATCGCCCTGGGAGGGAGCTGTGGGAACAGCCTTCTGTTAACCCCAAATGAGTATGTGTCAACTCCCCAGCCACCCAGCCAAGTCCTGAGTGAAAAAGAAACGCTCCTGAGCCAAGGCTACACCTTTGTTCCGCTCAGGCACAGCCTGACCCAGGTGGACAATGCACAGCAGGGCACCCGATGAAGTCCGGGGTGCGTTTTCCCATCTTCCTCGAGGAGCGCTGACAGGTACCCACCTTCCTTGCTATTGGCATTCGGTTGAAGATGTTCCACAGCACGATCCCCACCACCACTTTGTCCCTGAGGTAGAAGATGACGCCTTTGCCGTAGTCCTCCCCTTGGGCAGGGACCTGGGGGACTACAGGATTGCTGGGAGGAACAGCGATTTCTGAGGCCTCAGACTCTGTCTCACTCTCTGAGCGGATACCAGTCCCTGTGGCCAACCCCCAGAACAAACAAAATAGAAACAAAACAGAGTCAGTTATGAACTTAGGAAATTCTAGAAGGCAAGTATCTTCCGACACCTGCTTCAACCTGCTCCTAGAGGATTTGTTTTTATGCCCCCTTAGTAAACACTGGCCGTCTCCAGCTCCTCTCCACTGGCAAAGCCAACAAAAGCTCTTCCTTGCCGTCTCCAGGGCACTGCGTCAGTCTGACCCAGAACTTCCCTCCCTTACCATTTCGTTTTAAATGTATGCTATAGATTCTTTCCTGGTATCTGGATTTCTTCAAACTGCAGAAGACTTGCTCTTTTCCTCTGAGAAACAGTCGAGAGCTGCACAGTCCAGTCCAGTAGCCACTAGCCACAAACAGCAATTCCAGTTCCATTATTAAAAAGTAATGAAAATTTAATTGATTTTAACCAAAATTAAATCAAACATAACATTCAGTTCCTCCTGTGCACTAGCCGCATTTCAAGTGCGACATAGGCACACGCACCTAGGGGCTACTGTAGCGGACAGAGCAGAAACAGAACACTGCCCCTGGAGCAGAAAGGGCCATTAGACCGTGTGGCTAGAGAGGCCCTCTGGCCAAAGCAGGAGAGGGCACTTCCATATGGACAAACCACAGTGGAAGGGGTTCCTCCTGGGGAGGGGGCATGCTGGCCTCTGAGAATGGTCAGGCTCCGAACAATACTGCCCAGGGTACAGAGTAGTGCTCTGGAGTTTCTAAGTCCCCGGGGCTCTCTCCTGGATCCACTTCTCTGGAGAGGGCCGGATGAAGGAGCGGGTGTATGTTACCCGCTTGAATTACACAGGAAAAGGACCTACATGTCCATGTAATGTCTTGTTCTCTCCTTTAAAGAGCAACCTGTTCTTGAAACGCCTCTGACAAGAGGACACAGAGGTTAAATAACTTCAGCTAGGGTCATGGAAGGGAGAGAGAATAGGTCTAGGAGTTAATGAAAGAGTCGTGTGTGGGAGAGAAGTTCATTCCGTGAGAGGTACCTCCCGTCTAAAGAAAACCTGGCAGTAAGATGTGACAAATGGAATTACAGGCAGCTCAAGAATTACTCGGCCCAGTTCTTCATGGCCCAGGGTCCGTGGAGGATTGCAGGTCCTACACTAAGGTTCTTGGGATTAGTAGGAGGCTAATAATAATAATGATAATAAAAAATAAAAATCTTAAAAGTTCAGGTTTTCTTCAGTGCGCAGGGCTTCCCAGTCCCTAGAGGCAAACTAAACCAGCGTCGCCGAGCCAGTCGCTGCCCAGAGGATAGGACGAACACCCACCACATCTGAGTCTACGCTCTGACCAGGATACCTGATTTTGCCAGCTCTCAGTCCACGAAAGAGTAAGGACTTCGGGTTGGGTTTATTTTAAAGTCGGGTTTATTTTAAAGCACAACATGAAGAAAGGCTTTCACTGACAGTTCCCTCTGGCCAATACAGAAACCCCTTGTTCAGGAGAATCTGGACCACTGCTTCTCAAGACTCGTCTCAGAGAAGTAGTTGGGCTTCCTTACCGGACTGCTCTGTGGCAGATTTTGGGTTGTCTTGTGCAGTTGCTTTTGCAAACACACCGACTGTGGGCAAACTACTGTCCACAAGACCAATAGCTTCATAGCCAACATCGGGGCCCAAATCACTCCTAAGGAAGGAGAGAGAAGAGGGTGTTCTGTCAAGGGGACTGCAAAGAATGACACGGTGGTATATTTTTTTATTTTTTCTAAGACACCACACTTTGATTCGTGCCAACCAAAGAACCTGGTGTGTACAACAAGGGAAAATGCCAAACTGATCGGTCTGCTTGCCAGGGCATCTGGGGACAATCGTGAGAAAGCACTGTTATCCCAAAGCAGCTTTTATTTTCCTTAAGAAGCCATTATACATATCACATATCCATACACTAATCTACACTTCCTGAAATTTATCCATGCTTTTATCCCTTGGGGCGTGATGGGTTCATCAACTTTACTATTCACTACGTTCCTTTAACTCAACCTGAAAAAGTGCCCTGCTGGCGCTGTAAAGGCTGCTCCATATTTACAGAATTCAGAATCTGAGATCCTGTACGGCTTCATCAATGGATGGTATCTCCTCTGAGCCTTCATTTGTTCAAGGCTGGAATGCCTCCATCCACTTGATCATTTTATTTTAATTGTTCTTCCTGGAAACTTCTCCTATCATTATCACACTGTTTTTACTACGCCAGGAACTTCGAAGAGTATTTGTGCCACCGACACACGATGGTTTTGTAATCACGTGAGGCTACTACTCATGGTTTTGTTTCCGGTGCTCTACCTTTTGCCATCATTTAATTAAGTGATTAAGTAAGTAAGTAAGTAAAATTTGAGAACAGTTGACACACCGTGTTACATTCATTTCAGGTGTACAACTTAGTGATTTGATGAGTTGACACACTGTGCTGTACTCACCACAAGCATAGCTACCATCTGTCCCCTTATGCTATTTGAGTATCATGGACTAAATTCCTTATGCTCTGCTTTTTATTCCTGTGTTGTCATTTCTTGACCATAGAAGCTCACTGGACTGGGATCTTCAGGGAATGGTCTACAGTGACTTCTCGGATACTGGTCCTGAGACCTAACTGATGATTATCTACCTATGGACTCTTTTGTTCCTAACCGCAGTGTCTTACAGGTGTTGACCCCGAAACCCAGCTGTTATGTTTCTGCTGCCCGCTCACAAAACTGTGTGTGATTGTCCTGAAATGTATTCTCACCAGCTGAGAATTTCCCCAACAGAAACTGCTTAGAGGCTTCTGAAACCTTGAAGTTTTTTATGTATCCCATCTTTCAAAGCAATAAGAGGAGAGTGTGCCAAATAAGGCCAATCCCAGTACTCAGGAATGTCCCTTGCTAACTTTTTGCTATTCAGAGAACTGTCTATAGATGCCTGACTTTGAACTGCTGATCTTAAGGGTTACATATGAGTGGGCTGCTTTTTTTTTTTTTTTCTTAAAGTAATCCCTACACCCAACATGGGGCTCAAACTCACGACCCGGAGATCAAGGGTTGCATGTTTCACCGACTGAGCCAGCCGGGCGCCCCTGGGCTGCCTTTCTGTCAGTACGTTGGGCTCATGAGGGTTAGCACCGAAGAACAAATGAAAACATACTGCCGTCTCTAGCTAAGAGTACACGTTTGTACCGCCTACTGTAGCTCAAACTCTGAGCTATTTTATCAGAAGTGCTGATGCCATCTCCATGCATTCACCTAGTCTAACTTATGCCAGGTGGGGCCTTTTACCAGAAGGCTGCTTGGGTGTAGAATGCATGGAAACAAGATGAAATTTTTCTCCCCTCTGTATGAAGCTAATTGGCCCACGTGGAAACCAAACTGTAACTCTGGCTGCATTAATTTCGTGTTCTAACCAGTTGAGTCCGCAAGGTACAAAACTATTACCAGAACATTGACTGATGCCAGTATGGCTTAGCAGCTCCAGTCATATTTTCTCCAGCCAATCTTCCACTCACAACAGCGTGATCATGGTGCTCTACCCGCCTCCTACCCAACTTTATATCGTAGAAGCATGCAGCATCTCCTGCCTTTGGAAACAAGTACATTATATGAGCACGTGATAAAACAAAAACAAAAACAAAAACAAAGACAGAACATACATTTTGAGGGCTCAAAAAAACCCTTGTGCCATTAACTAATTAGTGTTTTCCATGTATGGGCCAGAATCGCACCTACACTTACTAAAAAAAAAAGTTGAGATTCCATTTTTAAAAAACTATTCTATGCTAACCCCCCAAAACAAAAAAACTATTTCTATGCTTCCACAAAGCGAACCTAAATCTTCTATGCTGCAGCTCACACCTATTTCCTCTCTCATTCTGCCCTTAGCAGAGACCGAATATTTAATAACTGTGATTTGCAGAATATTCTTTCCTATGCATGGAAACCAGTTTTTAGGTACGAGACCGCCTCTCACCTAGAAATCTTTTCCAAGATAGGATTTTCTTTCTTTCTTTCTTTTTTTTAAAGATTTTATTCATTTATTCATGAGAGACAGAGAGAGAGGCAGAGGGAGAAGCAGACTCTCACGCGAGGGAGCCCAAAGTGGGACTCGATCCCAGGACCCTGGGATCATGACCCGAGTGGAAGGCAGATGCTCAACTGACTGAGCCACCCAGGCACCCCAAGATAAGATTTTCTTTTGGTCATTCAGTATCTATTCGTTCATTCACCAAATATTTATGGAAAACTTATTTCTGTACAAAGCATTATACTGTCTGGGTGGCCGTGACAAACCTGACCCCCCACTTTGCCCACAAAAAGCATATAACCTACCTGAGGAAGATGCAGCATCATTCCTCACTAGAATGCAATGCAAACCAGCAGGGTGCCATGTGACAGGTACAGAGTAAGTGAGCTCAGTGTTTCAAGCAGAGAGCCTCCGGCTGGAGGTGAACAAGGCCAACCTCACTAAGGATGTGGCACGTGAGTGCTCTAACCCTTTGTGGCTATTCAGACTCTCCCAAGGCAACCTAAAAATCTAACATGTGAGCCGTGGTGAAATAAACTACGAAATCCACTTGGTGGACTATTATACAGTCTTTAGAATCTGAAGCAATGTGGAAAATACATTAGAATGGTAAGTAAAAAAGAGAAGAACACAAATGTTTATTGTAGTACACTCACCATGACCATCTACAACAAAGGGAAAAAAACCTATGCAGAAGAAAATGAAGGGAAGGAAATACACCAAAATATCGGTGGTTGCTGTAGGTGATTTCCCTCCTTTCTCTTTTTATCTGTCCCCCTTTCTCATTCTTGTCTGTCTTCCATATTGGGTGCATATTGCTTTTTTAAAGATTTATTTATTTTAGAGAGGTGGGGAGGGGCAGAAGAAGAGGGAGAGTGAGAATCCTAAGCACACTCCCCACTGAGCATGGAGCCCCATGTGGGGCTTGATCTCACAACCCCAAGATCATGTCGTGAGCCAAAATCAAGAGTCTGATGCCCAGCTGACTGAGCCACCCAGGTGCCCCTACATATTGCTTTTATAACAAGTTTTTAAAAATCCAGTACACTCTAGGCGCACCTGGGTGGCTCAGTCAGTTAAGCATCCAATGCGTGATTTCAGCTCAGGTCATGATCTCTGGGTCCTAGGATCGAGCCCTGGGTCGGGCTCTGCGCTCAGCAGTGGGGACTCTGCTTGGGACTCTCTCTCTCCCTCTGCCCCTCCCCCTGCTCATGCTCGCTCTAAAATAAATAAATAAATCTTTAAAAAAAATGCAGTACACTTTATCTTTAAAAAAAAAAAGCTTGGGGCGCCTGGGTGGCTCAGATGGTTAAGCGTCTGCCTTCGGCTCGGGTCATGATCTCAGGGTCCTGGGATCGAGTCCCACATCGGGCTCCCTGCTCCTTGGGAGCCTGCTTCTCCCTCTGCCTCTCTCTCTGTCTCTCATGAATAAATAAATAAAATCTTTAAAAAAAAAAAAAAAAAAAAAAAAAACTATATGAAAAAAAAGCTTTAAGGGAAAAACACCCTTCTTAGTTGCAGAGTCCATAATCAAACACAATACACTTGTAATGATCTAACAATGGGGAAATTACCTCATGGTTCCTACATACTATAGTCTTGTTTGTGTCATAACATTTTTTAAAACAGCTAAAAATAGTGCTCAAGGATAACGAAAACAGAGTAATTTTCCCTTCTAGGGAATGTTATAAAACTGCCTCATCCTCCATTCCCTGGGCTCACTTTCGGGCAAAGGGAACAGCAGATCCATCTGAAAGCTGGGAACATGCCCATCAGGGCAATGCCGATGGCAGCTGCCAACCACAGAACGGGAAGAACTCTATTTCGGTAGGTGCACACACTGTTCATTTCCTTTTCCACTAGCTTGTGGCATGCAGCCATACCTGACCTTGTAAATCAAGTAATGAAGTTTCTGTTCTTGACCCTCAGCCTCCAAACATTCTGACTCTATCTGGGCAAGGTGCTGACGAGCTTTCGTGCACTGCCAGGCAGACTCGCTCACGGGCTGGGCACAAGGAACCATGCCCTCTCATGCTGTCGCACACTTACCACCCAGACGTTGGAGCGGGCTTGGAGCTCTGCATTTACCCGGAAGCCACCAAAATCAGAGTCTATCTCTAGTCCACCCGTCTTGGCCAACTCAACATTGGGCTCCAGGCCCACAGCTGCCACTATGTGGTCAGTTTCTACCTGAGGAAAAAAAAGAAATAATTCAGCCAGGGGCGCCTGGGTGGCTCAGTCGTGAAACGTCTGCCTTCGGCTCGGGTCATGGTCTCAGGGTCCTGGGATGGAGCCCCGCATCGGGCTCCCTGCTCGGCGGGAAGCCTGCTTCTCCCTCTCCCACTCCCGCTGCTTGTGTTCCTGCTCTCGCTATCTCTGTCTCTGTCAAATAAATAAAATCTTAAAAAAAAAAGAAATAATTCAGCCAGTTACCACAGTTTCCATGTATGTCTATGGACACAGCAACTGTACTTTATTTTACTAAGAAGTGGAGCTTTACAAAAAAAACAAACAAAAAAACAAAAAATGAAAAAAAAAAACCCAACTCACTGATTAACTTACATAACTCTGGTAAACAGATTTAAAGGTCTACTTTATAAACTTCCTCCAACACAAATCTACCCTACATTGTCGGAACAGAAATCTGCCACCCTTGTAAGATCTCAAAAATCTGTGATACAGACGGGAGGGGGAAAGTGGTTCACAGGTGTCTACTCTGGCTCTCATCATTCTTATTTTAATGGAGGGAAGAGTTCATTCAGAAAATTATGACAATGTTAACGGTGGCTGCCACGAAAACTATCTACTGTTATCAAACGAAGGAGTAAGAATGAGGAAAGGGGAGGGGAGAGCTGGAAGGTCTGGCAGCCCACCTTCCCCTCCTTACCTTCCGGCCATCTTTCAACTTGATGAGTAACTTGCCACCGCTGACTCCAACTGATTGCACAATAGCATTGGGAAGCACCTTAACCCCCTCTGTGAAGGCAAACAAGACCTGAGGCTGGGCGTGCGAGCATCCCACCTTCATGACGAGTAGGGAAGATGACTAAAGGCACCCCCTATCATAAAACCAGTAATCATCAGCTCGCAGGCAGCCTTGGGGAACTGCAAGAACCCACACCCACAGTTCATTTTCAGTACTTCCGGGAATTTGGTGCGTCAGATTCAGAACGCCTATTGGAACTTGGCTGAGTGGAGAATGGTAGAAATATTTCATCTGCCAGGTGATATGGCTTATGTCAAGGGGATTCCCAAAGAAGCCAACTTTGCGTAGGCCTCATTCAAAGGAAAGAGCGGCAGCATATGGAAAGTCTCTCTACCTCGTCTGACTTTTTCCATGGTCCAGTTGCTGAGGTATTCAGGGAGGATCTTTCCCATATTTCCTTTCTCAGGGAAGAGCTGAATCACTTCTGTACCCAAAGCTCGAGCTGGGAAGAAGAAACAGACTTGGTAGAGCAGGAGGCAAAAGCCAATCCTGGGAAGACAGGAAGAGAAGTGAAGGAGCAGCAGGTTGCCATTCGTGACACACAGGGCAATGCTGCGACCTAGGCCAGAGCTCCTATTTGTGGGGCACTGACAAGGCAAATATAACGGGCACCAGAACTGCTGTCCCTGGATTCAACTACGCACCATGTACTAAGTGCATTACACCCAGGCATCCGCTCAGGCTCACACCTCTGCCTGTGGCCTCTGAACAGGAAGCACCCTCCTGAGAAGATGCCCTGATTTCACACAGCCGAAAACTGACATTAAGGAAAACGGCTGTCACGAAACATTCAAACTGGAACACACAGAGCTGTTGAACTGGGAACCATCGTGCGTCTGAAGAAAGTCTGACTTTTACAGGGAATAGCAGTTCAAATATACATACAACTCTGTAGTCTACATTGCCCTTATCTTAATAACTCACTTTCCTTAATATTTTATTTCTTTTTTAAAAGATTTTTTTAAAAAAGATTTATCAGGGGGCGCCTGGGTGGCTCAGTAGGTTAAGCGTCTGCCTTCGGTGTGGGTCATGATCCCGGGGTTCCTGGGATTGAGCCCCATGTCAGACCCCTTGCTCAGCGGGAAGTCTGCTTCTCCTTCTCCCTCAGTGTGTGCGCACGCGCGCTCTCTCTCTCAAATAAATAAAATCTTTAAAAAAATAAAAATAAAAAAAAAGATTTATCAGATGCTTAACCGACTGAGCCATCCAGGCACCCCTAAAGGTTTTATTTTTACGTAATCTCTATACCCAATGTGGGCCTCAAACTCACAACCCTGAGATCAAGAATCATACACTCGGGGTGCCTGGGTGGCTCAGTTGGTTAAGCGACTGCCTCCAGCTCAGGTCATGATCCTGGAGTCCCGGGATCGAGTCCCGCATCGGGCTCCCTGCTCGACAGGGAGTCTGCTTCTCCCTCTGACCCTCCCCCCTCTCATGTGCTCTCTCTCTCAAATAAATAAATAAAATCTTTAAAAAAAAAAAGAGTCATACGCTCTACCAACTGAGCCAGCCAGGCATCCCCTTAATACTTTATTTCTGAGGAGTCCTGGCTTAGAGGCTAGAGGAAGGGAAAGAAAGCATTTCTGCTCAGTTGCTCAGATGGCAGCTTTTTGGTCACTAAGGGATTCCTCACGAGAACTAAGCTCAGTGCTTAGCTTTTCACCATATAAATCTTTTTTTTTTTTTAAGTAAACTCTACCCCCAATGTGGGGCCTGAACTCACATCCCCAAGATCAAGAGTTGCATGCTCTACCAACTAAGGCAGCCAGGCACCCCTTACCACATAAATCTTAATCAAACTCTTTCTACTGATCCTGGCAAATGCATCCCTGGAATTTGTGAGAGCCCCAAAAAGCATGGGATATAAAACCAGAAAAGAAAAATTGAGGTCACTGCCCAGTACTCACCCTTTCTGCCAAGAGCGCAGGCCAGTTCGCTCCCAAGGAAGCCCCCACCGATTATCGTAATTGACTTGACTTCCCGGGAGATCTTCTCTAAGGTTCTAAAGTCTCCAATCTGCAGGATCACACCAGTTTAGTCCACTCATTTCCCAAAGGGGCATAGGATAATACCAAGAAATATTTTCGGCTAAATCTCTGACATGTAATTTGCACATAAAATCTTCTCCTTGTATGAAGTGGCTCAATGATAGCTTCTGTTACTGATGTAAATTTCTCACCCTTGGAACATTCCTTCTAGCATCAGTGGTTCTCAACTGGGGGCAGTTTCGCCCCCTCCCCCTCAGGGGACATTTGGCAATTTCTGGAGCCATTTTTGGTTGCCACAACTGGGGGTGAGGAAGTGCTCCTTGCAGCTAGCAGGTAGAGGCCAGGGATGCTGCTAAATATCCTATATGCACAGGCCAGCCCCTCATGACGAACAGTCATCCGGCCCAAAATGGCAATGGTGCCAAAAGCTGACAAACCTTATTTGATCAAGAATTTAAAGGATGACAGCAATCTTCTCAAATACCCGTAAGAGTGGCTGGAAAATTTCAGCAGGTGTCCCAAGTAAAGCACAGTGTTAAGAAGCAAAGCCCCCGCTTCCTTTTTCACTTAGGTACTCGAGTTTTCTCTTCAAAGTCTCCGCAGTAACATTTGCAATGCAAAATGCCAAGAGGCTATAAGGAGTTCCAATGACTCAAAGGCATCAGGAACAAAACAACTATGGAAGAGCAATCGGAAGGAACTATAGCAAGCAATAAAAAAACACTAGATGTATTTTTCACCTAGGAGCTGAAAACCCTTGAGTGAGGTATTTGAGGTGCAGAGAGAGGAAGTGACTTGCTCAAGGCTAGATAACAAGTCTATAGAAGAGCCATAAATAGAACTCCCATCTCCCAATTCCTGGGTGGTTACTTGGGGACCACATGATTATGCTACCTCTTCAAAAACCAAAACAATCAAAGCCCTAAAGCAGACAATTACCTTTCTGAAAAGCGTTGTTCTACTCTTCACCTCTGCTCCAGCCCTATCAATGGCAGACAGACTTCTTGGAGTGCCTCCTGGAAATAGGAGGAAAACCCTTTAGCCCACCGAGCGGGGAGCTAGCCCAAACGCTCCCCCCCAAAAGGTGGTGCTGTGGCGAGTGAGGTTCTGCTGGTGCCACCTCAGCATCCACAAGACCCAGAGGCTTTGTTTCCCTTCACCTGGCCTCCCAGCAGGCTTCTGTCAATTTCCTTGGAGAAGCCATTTGTGAGTCTCTACAAAGGGCCCGCCCTCCCTGGAGATGGCCACAAGGCCTCGGTTTTTCCTTCCCCAATCCCTTCTAGGGGCATCGCCAGAAAGCATGCTATGTTTGTTTAAGCAACCGCTTCAGTCTCCTCTCTTGATTTCTTTTTTTTTTTTTTTTTAAAGATTTTTTAAATTTATTTATTTGAGAGAGAGAGAATGAGAGAGAACACATGAGAGGGGATAGGGTCAGAGGGCAAAGCAGACTCCCTGCCGAGCAGGGAGCCTGATGCGGGACCCGATCCAGGGACTCCAGGATCATGACCTGAGCCGAAGGCAGTCGCTTAACCAACTGAGCCACCCAGGCGCCCCCTCTCTTGATTTCTGATCACAAGTGGCAATGAAGCTGTGAGGCTGTATCACTTCTGGGGCACAGGTAGGAGAGCAGAGGGCAGCGGCTAAACGGGGAGAAGAAAAAAAAAGGCCATCCTCTTCAATACCCATCTGTGCCCTTACCCAAAGGAGCAGCAGGGGTACTCCAGAAGGGCTGCTGATCAGATGCCTGTAGTTAGCTGGGCTTTGCACCAAGAGAAGCCACCCACTTCAGAGAGACTGGGTTTTGGTTTTCTTAAGATTAAGTAATGCCTTCTATACTAAAACTCGAATGAGCTGTACCAGGGAAGAAATCTGTCTGGAGAAATACTCACCTGTTGCAATCAAGCACTTTTCATAGGTTATCTGAGAGCCATCGTTAAGTTTCACCATGTTGCCTCTCACGTCGAGCTGCACTACCTGGGACACACACAGAAAGACGGAGAGATGAGTTAGCTTAAAATGCTTTGGTATCGAGACATAATTCACATAACATTATACTTACCATGTTAAAGTGTACAATTCGTGGTTTTTAGTA